TACGTAGTACTCGTAGTAGTCCGGCATACGTGATGATATTTATTTTCGCGCGCTATGAACTGATTCACACATGGGAGAGAAGTTTACGTTGATAAATTTTGAACCGTCTTTCGTGGAGGGAAACAAATTAATCGGAGGGAAAACCAAGCTCACACAAAACATGTCGTGATCGATGATACGACAAGTACGTATCGTACCGGCACAGTACAATGTACGGTACGGTACTTCTACTTCTTTGTAATTCACATGGAAGACAACAATACCGGTACAGTGGGGCTCTGTACTCCTAGGAGAACACCTTCGATGTCACGAGAGCGTTTTTAACATAACGTACCGGTACGTCGCCAAACGAGCACGATACTCGTACCCTCAAGCGGATTTCGGAAGGTGAACAACTAGGCAACTGTTTCCTACCGGTATGGTACCATTTTTGTTCCCAAGAAAGAAGAAAGACAATTTGCAATGATGAAGTCGTTGCAAGCCACGCTTTATCGCCTTCTTTTGATTGGGGTAGGATGTTTGTGGACTTGCRATGCAGATGAGAAGTCGCATTCACGTATGCGTCAAAACGTAAGGAGGCGTACTAGATTTATAATCGCGAATGGCATTCCAATCAGCAGTCACCTACCCGAAGAAGAACCAATAGGGAGAATCGAAGAAGACGACACATATATAGACTACGGTGAGATATTTTCGATGCCAGATACTCCCGATTCAAAACCGAAACCCAAGCCGAAGCCGAAACCACAGCCGAAACCAAAGCCGAAGCCGAAACCACAGCCGAAACCACAGCCGAAACCAAAGCCGAAGCCAAAGCCAAAGCCCAAACCTTCAAACTCGCCTGCCACACCTCCTACTAGGGAGGATCGTAGTATGTTAATTCAATCAAAATGTGGTATTACTAGCATCGAACGATCCAGGGATATTTTAACTGAGCTTCTCATGGTATCTGACGATTCAAACCTCGTCAATCCTGCAACCAGCCAATACAGGGCGCGTAATTGGTTGGACAACGTCGATCCCGCCATTGTCTGCCCTGACAATACCGATCGAATTCTTCAGAGATACAAACTAGCTCTGCTGTACTATGAACTCGGGGGAAGCGAATGGACAAGTTGCAGAGCCGAAGAAGACATCGCCAATTCTGAAGAGGAGGAGGAATGTCCAGGAAAACCATTTTTGAGTGAGTACAATGAATGTGAATGGGGCGGAATGTTTTGTGGCGGAAATTACGATAGCGTCACGGCAGAATGGCTGGATGCATTCTATCCATTAGAGTTGATGAATCTTCAATCCAACAATCTCAAGGGTGAATTATATGACGAGTTCTACGAATTCACATCTCTGAAGGAGATCTTTCTAAACAACAACAATTTAGCCGGTACGATCGACAACAAGATTGGAAGCTTGAAAACAATAAATGTTTTGCAACTGGAGTTAAATTCYTTTACAGGGCCTGTGCCAGAATCGGGGTTGTTCGAAATGGAGCTATTAGGTAGGTCTCAGTCAAGCAGTATCTTCAATGATTTGGTTACAGTTTGTCCTTTCATGTTACTGTTTCTCATAAAACTTGTCAATGCTTCCCATGAAATACAGCGGGATTGTCTTTAAGGGGAAACCAGCTTACCGGATCGCTCGAGTTATTGTGTAACGCAAGAGACGAGCGTCGGAATGAATTTGGATCCTATCTTGTGCTGAATATGGAAGCTGATTGTCTCGGAGATCCCCCAGAAGTTGAATGTTCATGCTGCACGTGCCTCTGATAACATGGTATTGTATTAAATTAGCTATTCATAGGGTGTACATTTTTAGATAATCTTCATCACAAAAACTTCCTTTTCTTCCGAAGTTCTAACTTCCAATCTTAGATCTAATCATTTTGTTACAGCCAATCGGATGTTTCCAGTACCATTGGGGYCTAACATGATTCTTTCACTCACAAAAAATGTTAGCCTCTATTTTTGTCGTACACCAGGCCTCTATTTCGTTTTCGTCTAGCGCTGGGAAGGATGCTCGCTCCTCTGAAAACCTTTCTCTTTTTCTTGTTGCTATTATTACCAGTATGGCTAGAGTTGACTGTAGTGGGTTGCGAAATATTATCTCCAGTGAGGTTGATCTGTAGATTTCTGATGTTATTCTTGMTCTTATCAGTCGCGCAATCCCCACCGCTAACGGTGTTGGGGATGATCTGGGTTCGCCACCGATTAAAGGCATCCTCCACAACCTGCCTCGCGGCTGTTACAGCTGKTTCATCGCTCTTCTGAAGGGGRTGGCAGTGGTTTGCGTTTGTGGAAAGATCCCAATATAAAAAACGCAAAGCATTTTTGTCGTATTTCGTCACGGTGCCATCGCCTGAAGAGTGCAAAAGAAGTGTCCCATTTACATTTCCAATACTCTTATACGGAATATCCACGCGAAGATCAAACTTTTTAGGGAGAGAATGCAAACTATCGCAAGCTTTGGGTACTAAATTTCCACTGTTTTTCAAGTCTCCATTCTCCTCGTTGGCTTTACTCGACTCGACATATTTTGCAGTCAAMTGCCCCGTTCGATCCATCTTTTCTACCTTGTTGTCGGTACATGGAGGTCCTTGTCGAAGTAATTCTCCAGCCATCGATCTTGCCAAGGCCTCGGCGGTAACACTTTGTGGATCAAGCTGCAACGAGTCGACGTGAGACATGAGCTGCGAGTAATCCAAGGGCCGCGTAGAGATGTAACTCCCACCACCGATGCCAAGATCCTTCTCTTCCCCGCACGAAAATTCTTGAATTGTATTTGGTAGGAGAAGAAAAAAGCCAAGAGCTGCCAAAATCACACAAGATGACGTTGGCTGCTGCGCTCTCCATGGCGGATCATCACAATTGATACTACTCTTTMCTTCTTGCTGCTCCTGCTCTTGTTTCTTGACAAATTCAAAGGTGACATCGAAGAAGAGAACCCTTCCACGAATGCAATCCATGTCTTCCCCGAAATGACGCAGAATTTTCAACGGGTCCGAAACCATTAATTTTGATCGCCAATACAAGGGGACCTGTTTGTCTTTACCATCAAGATATTTGATGACCTTGTCGTGACCCAGCAACTCTACTGCGAGATGCAGAGCGAATTTATCTCTGAACTGCCCAGATTCGCTCATTTATATTGCATAAACATGCGAATATCAACTGTGAGATTACCGATTGTTGTGGAAGGGGCGACACCACAATGCCGCCCGGTTTGTTGCCGTTGGGAGTTTGCTGTTTCTCTTGAATTCGTTCAGTCAAACGGAAACGACGTGTTGTCCAGAAGCGCTGTTCATTGTCATCCTTGTCTCGATCTCAATTTTTCACTTTTCTTTCTAGTCCCTCTTTTTCACAGTTTTTAGAAAAGCTAGCATCCTACGTTTTCCTGTACGGTACCAGGCAAGTACCAAACAAAAATGTAACTAATATTGCAACCATGTAGAACACAGTACAAGTTCTATGTACATGAGACAAGGTGCACCAAGCGTGCGCGGAGCCTAAGAGTATAAGCGTGTTTGATGAGATGTACTCACACGATCACCCACAAGGCAAATTCTATGGAAAAAAACCAAGTCGGGAGAGTAATTCTCCACAATCACGTCGATAACAACACTGATATCGTCAACACTCTTCCTGTCAGCTATCAACATGGTCCTCTTGTTGAGGATAGCAAAATACAGCACAATACTACAGTTCACATATACACAGTACACTATATTTTTATGATTTTTTGATATAAGGGGGGACAAGTAGTAAGGAACAAACAATTGTTCGACACGCAACAACAAAGAACAAAGAAGCACCGACGAATCGATTAAGAAGCACCAGCAGCCGGTCCGCGGAGCATGTGGTGTCCCCCAACACGTTCATGGGGAGCCATTGCTTTAAGAATATAGGAGACCCTCTTGGTTGGACCACCATACACTGAATAAATTCTTCTAACAGCAACTTCAGAAGAGCAGCCAGCCCTGATGAGTCTTTCCATGCACCTCCAGAACTTCAGCCTCCTGCAATACTTGCTCTTCACTCTGCCGCGCTCAGCGGCAGTGAACTCCTTGGCAGGCTTATTGAGACCAACACCAACTTCCCATTCATTCCAGAGGACATACAGGTCGTGAGGACACTTAGTCAGCTTGGTGTTTCCATCAGTAGCTTCCGACGCGCCACTGTTCAACGCACGAGGACGAGGCCTCCTTCTTACGACTGGTGCCATTGCAGCTCTTTGGGACAGCTCAATCGCTCGATTGAGCTTCCTATTGAACTTTGCTTCAGCTGAAATCTGTCGATTCTTAATCTCATTCACTTCATTAGCTGTGGCAAATAGCTTTGAAAACATTGCATGGTTCCACTGCAACTGAGTCCTACAAATTCCGAGAGCAGTCCCTCCAGCGGCTCCAGGGGCTCCCCCTCCTCCGCCATCCAGATCATCCGGATCTGCAAGCTCATCAAAGTGAACTTGCCCACTGAATTCGTTAGCAACCAGCTCAACACGCTTCATAGGATTCATGTCACGATCCAACCTCTCAGCGACTGGCAAACTGTAATTCAATTGAATCCAAGAAGCGACAACGTCCCTCTTTACATCCTCCGGCACCAAGCCTTGCATGACCGGCTCACAACAGGCCCATAGCAATGCTTTGCCAAGGACTGCAGCCACATGATTGCCAAATACATTGGCAATATTAGGGGCTACAGACGCAGCAAGCCACTCATCCGTGATTCCTGTCCTTTGAGGCTTGTAAAGACAGATTCCTCCAAAGCAAAGCTTGCTTGCAATGTCGATATCAGGCCAGGCAAGCTGAGTGTCAGTGTACCTATCTTGCTGGCGTTTAGACTTCCATCGAGCTCTATAATCAACATTGTCCTTGCATCCTCCAGACTGTCTTGCATAGGTGGCGGAAAACTTCCTAAAGGAATGAGTTCCCAGCTTCCCATCAGGTCTTTCACGAACAAAGGCTTCATTATCGAACACATAGCGCTTGATGAACCGAGCATAAGCAGCCTTTCCTTTGTTAATCTCTTTCTCAACGTCCTTTGGGTGAGATCCCCTGTCTGTTACTCCTTCAGTGAACAGCCACTGGCCTGCTGCTCC